TGGATGCATGGATCATCTAACATTTCCGCAGAGCCATCCTGTCTGACTCTGGAGGTAGCTGTCTAATTAAAGTTGTTATCTCCCTGTACCACATTGCTCCTTGGATTTTGAAAGTGTTTGTAGATTGCAAGACAATTTGTATTTGTTTAGATTTTCCAAAGGTTGAGGGAAATAGCATATTGAAATGCAGCCAGTACCTACCCACATGTTCACTTTGTTTTCCTCTATTCTCAGAAAACAGTAAAAGTTATGTCTTCATGAGCAATTAAAAGATGGATGGGAAGAGGAGGAGGGATGTGTGTTCAGCCTGCATTTCACAGTTCCTCATTTTACTTAGATTGATTGACTCTGGCTCTGTTTTTTGACTTCATAATATGAGTTTAATTGTGATAAAATAAAGATATACTTTACTGATACAATAATCCACTGATGGTTTACTTGTAATTTGTAAATAGGTAGAACACGAGAAAGTATAAAATATTTTTTCTTCCCCATTAGAGACCACATTGTAATTTCTGTAGCATCTCAAGGCTCTTTTAGTAAGCTTTCAAAGTAAGCGTTAAAGAAGGCACTAGACATAGAGCTGTGCTGGATACGACTTAGAAAGACAGACTCAGAAATTGCCATTGCCAGGTTGTCTACCTCCTGGTCACTGACATTTAGCCTGTGCATGGTCTCAGTTCTTTTCTATCTGTGGGCTCTTAGATCATTTAGCTCTAAGAGATGGGAGTTGAAACATGTCTGCTTGAAGTGGACCAGTTCCCTTCTCTGTATGTACCAGGACCAAATTATGGAATAGGTTGTGTTGGAGAAGTTGAAGGTGAAAACTGGAATAGGCAAGAGTAGGCAGTGATAGGGACAGAGTACTTAGAACTTTGGAGAAGTGGGGAAAAGGAGAGGAATGAGTGAGCCAACCACATTCCGTCTCTCTTGCCCATAGAACCATATGAAACAAAACAAAATAAATTGGACTATGTATGGCTTTTTCACACCAGTATTTTAGATGGCTCTTCCATTGAATTAGGAAGACTTACTGGGTTTCTCACCTTATTTGACCCCACCCCTAACCCCAGGTTGGACTTAGTGTTATCCCATAGAGGCTTTATTGCTCTGTGGTAGGGCCACTGAGCTGCGTGACCCCAGGGGTGTACCATGCCACAGAGAACATTATGCTTTCAAGACCCTGGGGAGTAACAATGTCTGTAAATTTAGGGAAGGTATATGGGATATTGGAAGATGAGGAAAGAAGGCATTAGGAATAAAGGAAAAAAAGAACGGATTTCTGAGGAGACTGGTGGTCAAGAAAATATAAACACTCCTTTTAGTTCAAAGATTAATCTTCCTTAGGCAATGCTGAGTTCTGCCCTGAAAGAGTACTAATATCTGTCATAAAATATTTTAATCCTCGGTACTTTTCCTTTATGACTTGATTATGCCTAACTCAATAGAAGCGCTTCTTGCTTAATTAAATGGATTATCAAAATAACAAAAATTTCAAAGCCCTAAATTCTATGGGAAAATGTAGCTAGAAAATTGGAGGGAGACTAGAAATTAAGAAAAAGATTTTCATAAAAGCTTTGAATAGATGGAAGAATTACACATATTCTGTCTTTTGAGAATGCAAGGAATGTTTTATCTTTGTGTGCAGTTCTAGGAATAGTAGCAACAGCCAGGACCCCTGCATGATAAATTTCAATTTCTCAGATCATGAAACTCAGTAGGGTTCCCTAGTCTCAATTTTAATATTCTGAGTTCTAACTTTTAAGGGCTAAATAAAAAGTATTACCCTTTTGAGTTTCATTGGTTTTCAATAGCTTTTTGAAATAATGAGCTCCCTTTACACGCGTATCATATGAACAAAGCTGCCCCAAAATGGCTGCCATGATACTCTTAATGCTTCCTGTCCCAATTTCCCCACCTTATCTACCTGTTTCCCTATGTGAAGAAAAAAATATCAGCTGTAGCCTGGACTCTGGCTATAAATGAATCCAGGCAAAGATATGTGAATATGGATGCAAAGCAATTGTCACCACTGATCATATGGCTGTTCTTTGCATTTTACCTAACTTTGGTCATCTCCATTTGCTTGTCCCTTTACCAAAGGCACAAACACTCTCAGAGAAAAGAAGGTTGTAGTGTTTGCTATCCCTGAAATGGGACTGGCTTTGCCCACCACACACTTCAGAGATCCCTTCTGCTTTGTCTCTCTGCCTGCAACTTAGATAGCTACCACCAAGTTGGTGGTTACCCCTTGGTAAAGCCTTTAAGCTCCTTTCTAGGCATGGAAAATTGCTTAGCTAAATAGTGTGAAGATATTTTATAAATGCTGAAGTATTTATAGCTTTAGATATATTTAATTAATAATTACTTATGGTTTCATATTAAGAGGAAACACTGGAGCAAAATTTAAAGAAATAGCTCCACCTAGGGACAAGTTAATGCCAACTCCACAATTTCTGCCTTCTCTCTCCTTAGTTATTTATCTTGAAGTGTCATCACTTTTTAATTGGAAGCAGGTGTTTTAAATCCTTATTCCAAAGTAGTTCCCAGGTGTTTCAGTCCTTAGAACTGTGTGCAGTCCTGACAACTAAGGCCTAGCTCTGGAATCAGATAACTTTTAGGAGCTCTCCTTCCCGGTATGTCTCATGGTCAACGATGGTGTTGTATCTTATTCTCTTGACTGCTCCTGTTTTTCCTCTAAAAGTATTATCAAGCTTCAACTCTCCTTTCTCAGTCTGTTCTGATTCAGGTTATACTCATATAAGATGGAGAGAAGATCCTATTATTTCTTTTCTTCCCACATCTACCTGAGAACATTGAATTACAATGATATATGCTTTTTTTTTTTCTTCAATTAAGATGAACTTACTGTTCTAATTAAATTTTTTTTCTTGGCACAGACTATGTGTAATCCCTTTTTTATTTCTAAGAAATAGACTTATAGAATATAATAAAATTCTTGTGTTAAAACTTTGGTTTTATAACCTATTTTAGCCCACAGTCCAAAGTAGGGGCTAAAAATGGGACCGTCTTACCCCAATTGTAGTTCACGGTTAAGGTACAGAGGTACAGAACTCATATTTCTTTTTCTTTTTTCTTTTTTTTTTTTTGAGATGGAGTCTCGCTCTGTCACCCAGGCTGGAGTGCAGTGGCGCAACCTCGGCTCATTGCAAGCTCCGCCTCCTGGGTTCACGCCATTCTCCTGCCTCAGCCTCCCGAGTAGCTGGGACTACAGGCGCCCGCCACCACACCTGGCTAATTTTTTGTATTTTTAGTAGAGACGGGGTTTCACCATGTTAGCCAGGATGGTCTCTATCTCCTGACCTCATGATCCTCCCACCTCGGCCCTCCAAAGTGCTGGGATTACAGGCGTGAGCCACCGCGCCTGGCCCAGAATTCATATTTCTAGCAAGAATCCTGGGTGATTCAGACGTAGGCAGTCCTCAGTCCACTCTAAGAAATACTTACCTAAATTATTATTTGTTTTCCAAGATGGAGTTTTTAAAACAGTCATTTTAAAGTACAGATATTTGGATTTCATCACAAAATGAACATGCATTTTTAAAACCTCGTATTTTAACCTCAAACTTAGAGAAATGTTTCCTCTGAGACTTAGAAAAATAAGTGTTACATAGATTTTTTTGATAACAATACTTGGATGAAAATACATTCTCTCTATTGGAGATACTTTTATTCTAAAATAACAGTAATATTTTCTTTTGGGCCTATTTTCAGAATAAATTCTGTAAATTACTATTTCTTAGTTACATATGTGGTACCTTGGTATTTAGTATAATGATGATTGGTATATAGATGTTGTACATTTTCTGTGTTTTGGCTTAATCTCTGTCAGGAACTTTCATAATTTCTATCATTAATAGTAAGAAATACATGAATTCAGCACACATTCCCAGCTGATCATTCAAAAGGCAATTTCCTAAAAAGTTGCATGCCTTAGTCCTGTAACTTCTAATGAGTTGAGTGAAGTGAGAGATTCTCTTTTGGAACAATGAAAAATTATGGTTTTGTTTTTGTTTTTCTGTTTTTTTCTTTATTTACTTTCTTTTTCTTTTTTCTTTTTTTAACTTTTTTTCTTTTTTATTTTATTTTATTTTATTTTAAAAGTGATTCTTTAAAAAAATGGAATTATAATGCAGGGAATAGTGGAGGGTTCCAGATCAGGTTTTTTTTTTTTTCGAGACAGAGTCTCACTCTGTCACCCAGGCTGGAGTGCAGTGGCACGATCTTGGCTCACTGCAACCTCTGCCTCCTGGGTTCAAGCAATTCTCCCACCTCAGCCTCCCCAGTAGCTGGGATTACAGGCATGCACCACCATGCCTGGCTAATTTTTGTATTTTTGGTAGAGATGGCATTTCACCATGTTGGTCAGGCTGTTCTTGAACTCCTATGTAAAATGATCCGCCTGCCTCAGCCTCCCAAAGTGCTGGGGTTACAGGTGTGAGCCACCGTGCCCCACCTCGGGTCAGTTTTAAGAGTTGCAGTGATTCAGAGCCATTTGGTCAGCTTCAGCTTAAAGCGGACCATGCAAGTTAACACATTTGTCTTTTTTGTGTACTATAGACAAAGGTTGAAAAAAGCATCTCGAAGGAAACTTCCTTCTCCAGTAGATCACAGGAGAGGAATAAAGGTTTCGGATGACTGTTTTTCTAAGCTTTTAAAAAATGTGATGTTATGCAATAACTTGACAGGTCATGTGCATTTTATCTTTTCCTTTCAAAATTATCTTTGCCTCTTTTAATTGTTGATTATACTTTTATTTTATTTTATCTTTTTTAGAAGAATGTCATTCTATCACCCAGGCTAGAGTGCAGTGGTAAAATCCTAGCTCACTGCAGCCTCATGTTGATCATACTAAATAAATAAATAAATAAATAAATGTTTTCAGGGCATTATTAGCAGTGTCCATAGGGGTGTTTCAGATTGGTGTCACTGGCTCATGAGCACCTCCATTGTTTTTCTCTCCCTCTTTTTTTTTTTAGAGTAAAGATGGCAAAAGTCCCCTGCACATGACAGCTGTCCATGGAAGGTTCACACGGTCACAGACCCTCATTCAGAATGGTAAGAGAGATGCTTCAGTAGTGTCATTATTTCAATAGCTTCTTGTTGTGAATTTGGCTATCAGTTACCTGCATATGAAAGTCAATGCCCTGTGTTGGAGTTTTAGTAAGCATGCAATTACACAATTCTTTGATGTACTTTGCTAAAAACTGTTCATCAGACATGTCATCAACATCCACCTTAATAGTAAAAACATAAAGCCATAGTATCACAGTCAATTTGGAGTCAGGCACAGAGCGTGAGCTTGGAAATTGGAAATGATGTATTTATATAGACTCAAGATCCTGTGCTTCTCACTCTGAAACTAATAAAGGTAAGTAGCATTCATTTTCTAGCAACAAATCTGAATTATTTTTAAATTTTAGAGTTCACTATAGTTTCCTAAGTTAAAACTTATTAAGCTAGTTGGGCAAAAGTAGGAAAAATGATATAACTCAGAGGAAAAGCAGTTAAGGATGTGATATAAAGGATCATAAAATCACAGGCTTAGGCAGGGCGTGGTGGCTTATGCCTGTAATCCCATGCACTTTGGGAGACCGAGGTGGGCAGATCACCTGAGGTCAGGAGTTCAAGACCAGCCTGGCCAACATGGTAAAACCCTGTCTTTACTAAAAATACAAAAATTAGTCAGGAGTGGTGGCAGGCGCCTATAATCCCAGCTACTCAGGAGGCTGAGGCAGGAGAATCGCTTGAACTCGGGAGGAGGAGGTTGCAGTGAGCCAAGATTGTGCCATTGCACTCTAGCCTGGATGACAGCGTGAGACTGTGTCTTAAAAAAAAAAAAAAAATCACAGGTTTGACAGAGACCTGGGAAAGTCACATAATATAGTAATATAGTAATTTTCCGGGCTCACAGCGAAAGGTATACTTGAACCATCAGGTTGTCACTGAAGTCAAAGTACTAGAGAGTATCAGTTTGCATCCTGGTTCATGTTAATAACATGGGGTCATGGCCAGCAGCATCTGTGAGTGGGTTGACTTTGACAACACAACTTCTGTTAGCAAATCTTAGAGACGATTTAAAAAAAACAAAAACCAGGTTTAGTTCAGATTTTAAGCTGACATTCCAGGTGAATCCAGCAGTTCCTATTTTTAGTTGACCCAAACTTCTACTTCTCAAAATTCTGATATTAGTCAATTTCCTTGGACCTGTATTTTTCTCGTCTATAAGACTTTCGGATCACATACACTTGAATTACTAGTGGCACTGAGTTATGTCTTAGGCACGCAATACTTAAAACAAAGAAGTCTTTTGACATTTGGATGGAAGACCAGCCAGTGGAATTATGCTTAGGGAGCAAAATATCTGCAGCAAAGCAAGGGAAATTTGTAAGCATTCTAGTGAAGCTGTAGGGGAAAAGAAATCCTAACAAATTTCCAGTGAGCCAAGGAAGGTAAAACAGAAATTAACTGTGCAATACCCACTATTCCTAATTTGAAATATGTGCTATGCCTTTGACATTCATTTTGTTGAAAAGGCCACTGTGTTTTATTTTGCTGAATGTAAATAAAGGGGGCTGGGGGGAGTGACCCTAGTCTCTTTTGAGCACGTCTCTTATGCCACTGTATCTCTCAACTGTTTTTCGGAAATAATGTCCACCCCCCTTTAAAAACAAACAAAACTTTTAGAAACAAACAAAACTTAAACAGGTTGGTTCCCTTTTAGAGCAACTTCAAGCTCCAGAGACAAGGTTGGAGGGAAAACAACTTATCTCCTTCTAAGCACTGCCTTCCCCGCAGGTTCATCCCTGTGTGTCAGGTGGTGCTGGTCCTCTCCATGACGCATCTCCCCTCTGTCCTGCTGGCATGCTTACAACAGTCCCAGGGGACTGCTGGCAGCTTTGACCTCTCCAAGAGCCATGTGGGCTGGAAGACTTCCATGTCCTGCCTTGCTAGACTTTTTTTTTTTTTTTAAGACACTGTCTCACTCTGTTGCTCAGGCTGGAGTGAAATGGGGTGATCTTGGCTCACTGCAACATCTGCCTCTTGGGTTCAAGCGATTCTTGTGCCTCAGCCTCCTGAGTAGCTGGGACTACAGCTGCGCCACCATGCCCAGCTAATTGTTGTACTTTTAGTAGAGATGAGGTTTCACCATGTTGGCCAGGCTGGTCTCGAACTCCTGACCTCAAGTGATCTGCCCACCTTGGCCTCCCAAAATGCTGGGATAACAGGTGTGAGCCACCACACCCTGCCGTTGCTAGACTTTTGAGCTGGGGGAGACCTAAAAGAGACCCTGTCTCTTATCCTCTGTGTTCAGGGGATCTTTGTTTCAGAACCTCCCTCATTCTTGGTTGTCCTGGCATCTTGCTTATGGATTGGGTGGGGTCCAGTGGCCTGAATTGGTAAGGATATAGTGGCTATAATATATAGCCTATTATATATAATGATAAAGCTAAGTGATAATGATAAAGCCAAGTGTTCACAGTGTGCCAGGCACTTGGCTAAACACCCCTTATAAAGCCTTTCAACCACCCTATGAGAAAGAGGTACTATTATTATCTCCATTTCAAAGATGAGGAAACTGAGGCAGAGAGGTTGTCACTTGTGTCTGGATAAATGGCCAGTATGTTGTGGAATAGGGATCTGAACACAGGCAGTCTGACATCAGAGACTGAACTCTCAACCACCACTCTTATAAACATGACCTCCAGAAACCAATGGTGTTTTAAAAAAAATTCCTTTTAAAATTGAATTCTGTTTACTCTGAGAGTCACTTATATTTGAAATAGAGTTTTCCCTGTAAAAGGATGCTTTGGTATTCTCTTCTCTCAACTGACAGTTTTTTTGCATTCATAACACATGTGAGAACTGTGAATTCTTCCATTTGACATTTTTTTAAATGCCCTTGGGGAGAAGAAAAGGAAGTTCTTTTTTTACCTCCTGTTCGTTGGCTTCCTTCTGGGAAGAATCCTGGGCTGTTGCCGGGACCCTCCCTCTCCAGAAGCTCATGCCCCTAGGGCCTGGTGTCAGTCCCCCCAGAGTGGGACATCACCCACAGGAGCCGCTCTGTCCTCCAGGACCACATGGGCACAGCATTTGGCTCCCCGAAGCGACTAAACGTGCTACTGAGGAATGTTTTTTGTATTTATTTGTTTTGTTAAATTGCATTGGTGTTTGGACTTTGAATAGCTTTCTCTGCTTCGCTGACTGCTCTCCAGTCAGGATTACTAGTTTTCATAACTTTGTTTTTCCAGAATCATCCAGCTTTGGTAAGATAATAATGAAAAAAACAAAAAAAACCCCACTCTATTTTAGTTAGTAAGCAAAGACTAACTCTGCTATCCAATCACATTGTTTGTTGTCTGAAGCTGTGTTGTCACAGCGAGAGAGGGAAAGGAACTGAGTGAAGACACCATGTGGTGTCCGGAGGCATTTGACCTCACCATTGGCCCTAGGCACCCCCCTCAGATGTGGTCCAGCAGGTTACACAAGTTCAAAAATGATGTTTTCTTCACAGAAGCTTTAAAAATAAATAGAGTTTGAAAAGGAAGAGTCAAGTTCTAGGTTAGGATGAGTCAGTGTGAGATTTTTGACCCTTTGGCTCACAGTACTTCCAAGGCAGCTTAATAAGCTGACCATTCTTGTTTGTGCAGTGAAAAACTAATTTCAGATGAATGCTTAGAGGATGCTAATTAATTATCCTTTCTGACGTTCTCTGCATACATCTAAACTGGCAAATGTTTATTTTCCTCACTGGTTGTCAATGATCAATCACCAATATTTAACTTGCAACCTTCAAATGACAAATAGTAAAGATATTTCATTTGCATTTCAAGCAAGTTTTAAAAATTTTCAAATGAAAATGAAAAGATTTGTAGAGTGATTTTAAGATAGAAATGCAGTTATGTAGAGATGCTGTTTAAATAGAAAACATGTTTTCAGATAACAAATAGAGAGTCTCTCTTTTATTTTTCCACTAAGTTATGATGATCTCCTTATATATATATGTGTGTGTGTGTGTGTGTGTATATATATATATATATTTTTTTTTAGATGGAATCTTGCTCTGTTGCCCAGGCTGGAGTGCATCTCAGCTCACTGCAAACTCTGCCTCCCGAGTTCACTCCAGTCTCCTGCCTCAGCCTCCCGAGTAGCTGGGACTACAGGTGCCCGCCACCACGGCCGGCTAATTTTTTGTGTTTTTTAGTAGAAACGGGGTTTCACCATGTTAGCCAGGATGGTCTTGATCTCCTGACCTCATGATCCGCCTGCCTCAGCCTCCCAAAATGCTGGAATTACAGGCGTAAGCCACCACACCTGGCCTCCTGAAATATATTTTAAATGATAACAAAAGCATATATGGACAATAATTATCTTTCTTTCTTTGAGATAAAATCTTGCGTGTAGCTCAGGCTGGAGTGCAGTGGCACGATCTCAGCTCACTGGTATCTCTGCCTCCCGGGTTGAAGAAATTCTCCTGCCTCAACCTTTCAAGTAGCTGGGACTACAATCGCTTGCCACCACACCTGGCTAATTTTTGTATTTTTAGTGGAGATGGGGTTTCGCCATATTGTCCAGGCTGTTCTTGAACTCTTAGCCTCAGGTGATCTGTCCACCTTGGCCTCCCAAAGTGCTGGGATTACAGGTGTGAGCCACTGTGCCTGGCCAGTTATCTATATTTTTACAGTTTTAAACTGACTTGTAAAATGAAAGCAACGACTACAAGAAAAAACTTTTATCAGCTCAGACCCTCTATTCCACCCTTCCTGATAGTTTTCACTCTTCCCTTTCTCCACCCAATTTTTGGCATATTTGAGACTGGTAAACCTGGAGGCTCTAACACTTTTTAAGAATGGTTTGGTGACTCTTGGCTGGGAAGGATGTGGATTGATAGAGTGTTTGTCCAGATCTGTGCAGTCTGGGGATCTGTCCCATATCTCCCTGGATCAGTTCGACAGTTGGGGCTTTTAGGCAGACCACCATGGGCAGCTCTGATACGGATACATGCACATTGAATTGCTCTGAGGTATCTATGGGAACGAGGTGGCTGCCTGTCTCCA